TTATCAATGTGCAACCGACTCGCAAGATACAACTCACACATCTCGGTTTCAAGAATATAAGATATTATCGTCTCACCAATCAATCGTGATAAAATCCATGAAGTGATACAAGTGAGCGTGGGTTTAAACCAATGCTCAAATCATATTGATAAGCACTCATGAATGTTGCAGCAAACATTTTCTTATGTCTAATACACTTTAGACAATCCACGCACCAATTCACGACAATCTTCATTCATATCTACTTCCAACATATGAACGACTGTGGCCTGTTCGAATTATTTGACTGTTCTTAACCAATTAAATTATTTAGGAAGTCAAAACATGCAAATTGAAACACAAGGATAATACTAATCCTATATGGCCTCAAACCTTTGAGTATAAATAAAACACTTTTTATTTATCACCATATCGATTACTCATTATTTGTTGTTTCGGGTAATCAACTTCTTACTTGAATTATTACTACACTTGTCCCATGCTCCTAGCATGCACACAATGTTTATCTATGGTTCTTACTTTGTGAAATAGATCAAATGAACACATTTCCAATCATACTCATTTCAGAACTCCAAATCCTTTTCCATAAGTGAAAGAATATCAAATTCTTGCTACTTATAGAATATGTTAGATTCTAACATTTTATGCAATGATCCTTTCGTAATTTCATAACACAAAAGTCACAATGACTATTGCCAATGATATTACAAAGTCCTCTATCGGAGATTGTTACAATACAATTCCTTAGATATGATGTCTCTCACTCAAAGTACATTCCTTTGAACATCCTTTTGCATAAAAGTTTCTAATCTAGACATAGATTTTCAATATTCAATTCCCAATATGGACACGTTTCCATATTTTCCATATGACAACTCATTCTTAATAGAATCTTATCTATTTATAATAATGTCGATATGGTCCAACCAATACTATACTTCCAACTACTCACAAGCGACCAATCCACAACGAACTTTGGATTGTCCATTCATAGTTGTTTAATTATCTTAGTCAAAAACCGATTCTTGTCCTTTTTCCCTCTAAATGCGGTAGACATTTGGAAAATTTTAGAATGGTCAAATATTATAGCATTTGCAATCGATCCTATACCCGAAGCGTATGGGACACGATGCGTAATGTCTTATATGAAGATTTGATACTTTATCAATCTTCTGCCATAATATTTTATGTGGTACATTCTCAAAATTCGAACTATGAAGAGGAATGACGTAATCATAATCGAAATTTGAGAACACACCATGTTTCCTTGACTAAATTTATTAACATTCCACAACCTAATCCTTTAGATTTGAAATGAAGCATAATATTCTCTCCCTTAATTATAGCAAAACAACTATTCAATCCTTACAACTTTGCAAATCAAGACTCTTGTTTTCTATAATTAACATTGCTACCTTCCAATACTTTCCATAATAATCATGCAATCATAACATTTATGCTCCCACTATCATGATGATTATTATAAACATAACACTTATGTTCCCACTAGCTTTGACATGTATTCAGAAACAGCTTAACTTCCAGAAAAACAATACTTATTGAATTTCTTAAGTTCATGTTTCTAATACCTAATGCTTTGATAATCCTTTATCTAAGTTTATACATCTTCCCTTAGATAGCTCATATGTGTGTCTAAACAATTCAGACTAATTGCCAAATCTCACAATTCGAATCATCGAAAGGGATACCGTAACCATAATCGAATTCGAGAATACAATTTTCACAATCACTATCCTTTTAAACTCTATCTTAGTGAAAGTATTTCCTCATAGTCATTTTCATGAAGGAGGGAATCTTATGGACCGAACTTTCTTAATCTTGATTTCTTGCCTTATGGTAGCACAACTGCCCACCATGTCTTCCAAGTAGTCAAGCAACTCACCCTTTCCTATCAATGTAGTTTTTATTGATCAAGGTCCTTGCCTTTTATGCATTCAAATGAGAACTCATAGGGCTCACATGCATAATTAACTTAATTGGAATGGCACAGAAACAAAATAGTGTCAACACGATAGGTTGTAAACCTCAACTCGTGTGCTAATGATGATCGATAAGGTTTATTTTGATTTGTTCTTGAAACCTTTCAAGACCATTAAGACTCCCACTGACTCCTTGACATATAAGATTCTCTTTTCAATAAACATTTCTTGACAAACAAATATTCAAGAGTTAGTGTAGCTTTTATCAAAGCATTTCATAAATTGGTCCTAGTTGGTCTTTGTCTTATCCAAGACATCACAACTTTTCACATTTGATGAATGTTATAAACCTTCTTAATACTTGTCACTCATTGTCACAATCTTAACCCTAAGACTTGTTTTGGAACGAAGTATGATTGACTTCTTGATTTAACCATTTCTTCAATTCTTGATTCCTCTTCTTAGACATACAATTGCACTAAGACTGACTTAGAGGATCAATTGAGATATGGTTCTTGATCATTAAGACATATCATAAAGCATAAAAGGTACTCTCCCTTCTTCTTAGAATAGAGAAACTTTTATCTTTCTGCTTACTTGATTCTTCTTATTCGTTCTGCTATTGATTTAAACCTTTTCAATCAATTCAGAATTAGACTTAATCTTATAAGTATAATCATATTTACTAAACCTTTAGTAAATCATGACGAATATCTTTTTTATTCTTGTGGTGGACTTAATCCACACACAACTTTGTGTACTCGATTTCTTAGTCCTTCACTTGACACTTGGTCAATGAATTAGTCTAATTTCCAAATATGAAATTTCTCATTCATCGTGCAACCAAGGTGCATGATTCCAAGTTTCTGTCCAATTGAAACTTGGGTGATGAGAAACTTTCCCTATTTGGTAAATTCTCGACAATTCCACATAATTAAGAATCAAATCCATTATTGCTAATAATAGAAACATTCAAACATCAATTTTTCATACACGCCATTGCAAGGATAAATAATATAAAATCAAAATTTATTTTATTGCGGAAAAAACCTGTCCTTATAATGCAATTCATTGAAAAACTATGCTAATACATATTTCTTAGCAATCTAATTTTAACTCTAAGTAGTAGCTCAAGAATCTAATGCAATCGAAATCCATTCCTTCACGGTTAGATTTTGCTCACTTCTTCCCTTAAGCTTCCTTTCTTTTCTTCGATCCTACAAAACATCAATTGTAATCTTAACATATTATGTATTAAGAATCTAGAATAGAAGCTTAAAAGAGTTAGTCAATGGATTTTACCTTAAACAGAGCCATACGTTTTGACTCTCCCATCTCATAGATCTCTTAGGTAAATAGGGCAGCTCCATCTCCAATGCCCCTTCTCTTGGCAATAAAAGCAAATTGACTATTTTGGAACAGGATATGGAACTACTTCAGACATTGCCTTTCCCTTATGATCAAACTTTTCGATCGTAGCACATCTTTCGTTGCCATTGTCTATATCCATAGAGGTCTTGAAGGCAAATTCACTAATCAACTTTGCTTTTCTATTGCACCAAACCATGGATGATTCAGCAGCAATAAGCATATAGGTGAGATATATAAGGGTTACATCGCGGTTCATCATATAGTACTATCTTATGAACTCACTATACGAGTTAGGAAGTGACTGAAGAACCTAGTCAACAGCCATCTCCTCACAGACAACGGATCCCAACATTCTTAACCTATCAATGTGTGACTTCATGTGTACACACCGACTTTCCTTCTTTATGTTTACTTTTCAAAAGGGCTTGAGTGAGCTTGAACTTTTCAAGCCTTCGAACTTGTGGGTTAGGGAGAATAATTGGAGTAGGTGGAGGAAGTGAAGCATGATCTCTTGTTCCTTGATCGAATCGTGGAATATCATCTTCATGTGGAATGCTTGTTCCACGGGATTCGGGAAGACCATAGTTGTCGTACTTTGACATCTACAAAACGGGAGAAAACGAATTCAAGTTAGTTGATTTATAGAGTCCTTAGTAAATCACCCAAATGAGATACTGAGGCTAGGACCCAACACAGTACGCTACAACCTAGAAAAGGGATGTCATAATCTAGTTGCTGAATATTTGAAGGTAAGTGAATGACGATTCACTAATTTCCACCATGAAAAATGAAAAATAAATTTAAGTTTTAAATATATGAAAACTCCTAGATCCTTTGTGATTCATTGAACTTTTCAATGGCATGTTTAAATCTCGATATGCCCCTCTAGTTTGTGACTGGGATGACGAGGATCACAAAGCGGGTGTGAATAACCATACAAACTTACATGGTGCCATCACATGTTACAGTCACCTATTGATAGCTGATACTCGCTTTCAAAATACTTGTATTCTCAGGGATCTAGTAAGACATGTATCATCAAAGGAGTTGCAAAGACAGTGCAGCAGTTTCTCGTCTTATCTTTTGATACAATTATGATATTAAACATATAATGTTTTGAACATGATGTAAACACTTTAATATATATACAATGAATGTTGTTGCTTTGATTAATATTATGCAATTATTGTGATACTATATATGACGTACTCCGCCCACAAACGTTTCCGCCGTTTCCGTTTGGGGTTTAGCAGTCTCGAGCTTTTCGTCTGCCATAGGTGGCGGTAGGTTATCAGGATTCATGAGGTGATCTACTAGGAGCTCTGTTGGGAGTTCTTTTTGACAGCTAGATTCGAAAAGGAATCAAGGCTCTGGGCTGATCAATCGATATTTTATTTTCGCCTAGGAGGTGTATCCCGCTCTGGCAGCCTCGTCGATTTGGGGAGGCGTCTAGGGATTTATACTGCTGAGGAGACTCTAAGTCCTCATTTTTATGCATTTTTGGATAGCTGCATCTCTGCTTCCCTGTGGGAGTATGACTCTAAGCAGGTTTGGGCTCATGCTTGGGGGACCAATGTCTCCCGCGTAGCCAAGGAGAGTTCGGGGGGACTTATATCTCGTGCTCGCATCCACCATTTTTCATAGACAGAAGTGTGATAAGGTTTCTTCTGATGACCTTTTCTATATGTGATGCCTCACTCAGACGGTGGTTCGTCTTCATCTCCCTTTCTCCTTGCTCTTTACCTATCTGGTATGGCTCTAGGTACCACATTGTCGAGCAGGATTTGTGGGGGTCACTGGGTTAGTAGGTTATCCCTATCCTATGGGGTTCACACTAGCGGGATGTTTCCTATACCTATCCGGGAGTTGAGTATTACCACTCTCGGAAACATGCGGGTTTTGACTTGGGAGGAAGGGTAGCCTTGGAGGATACCAAAGGATGACTTCATCAAGCCAATTTAGAAGGTGGAGCCAGAGGTCGTGCCTGACCTTTCCTTTATGAGGCGTCAGAGACCTAGGTATGCAGAGCCTGATTTTTCAGATCCTACTCTTGATGACGCGATGCGGGGTCTTTCCGATGCATGGGAGGAGTGTCATCGAATTATGGCTTCACTTGTCGCGGTGATGCGTCATTTGGGGATGGACCATTCGCCCTTTCCTAGTGCGAACTCGTTGTACCACCTCCTTCTCAGCCACACAACATTGGTTATGATGGTTCCCGTCCTTCAGGCATGAATCCTCGAGACACTGGTGACTATGACGATGTTGATGATGATGATGATGACGAAGAGGAGGAGGAGACTGAGACGGAGTCGGAGGGTGATAAGGAGTAGATTTCAGAGGTTTTTTTTTTTTTTTTTTTTTTTTTTTTTTTTTTTTTGTATTTTGATACATTATCTTTTATTTGGTTAAGTATTTATATATTTATGGTTTTTATGTTTTATTTGTGTATCCTAATTCAGATGTTGTATTTGTTAAGTCAAGACTAAATATAGTTGATCAGGCTATGCTTAGGATTGACTCAACTTTTAGACACCGAATTTCCTGGATATTTATCTTTATGTTTTGCGTTTTCGTATATGTTTATTTGTGATTGGCGGTTCATTAATTTTTTATACTTCTAGACTATGTATGGATCGGCCAGGTAGGAAAAGTCAATAGGCAGGACCATTTTGACATATAGTTGATCTGAAATCAACACTACATAATATATTAGTTCTAGCCTAGTCACCTCAACACTACATAATATAATAGTAGGAAATTTTATGGTATAAAATTTATAGTTATAGGTTTGAGGACAAAACCAACGCAATAGTTCTAGCCTGGTCACCTCAACACAACATAATTTACTATTGATCTTAAATGACTATCTTTTCTGGATATCTATGATCTTAAATGACTATCTTTTTAAGAATGCTTTTCTTTAGTGAAAACCTTTCTTAATTATTTATCTAGTCTTTTATCTTTTAAGATATCTTTTATTGATCTTAAATGACTATCTTTTCTGGATATCTATGATCCTAACGTATTTTGAACTAGGATTGTCTTTGGTTAACCCTAATTTACTATCTTTCAAGGATTTCTAACGATCCTAATGTATTTAAGTTATCATACCAGGCGTCCCTAATGGCAATCTAAGCTCTAAGGCAATTTTAAATATATTAACGTGATCCCCTATGATCGATGCTAGGACCATAAATGTACCCCTAATCACGACACTTCATCGGACGTCGAATAGTAACTTTAAGGGATTGTAACTATCAATCGTAGATGGGGTTGTCATGGCCCCATATAGATCTAAACATAATTTTCTAGCTCTCGCAAGATTCACAATTATAGGTAATGGGGATATGTCAAATTTAATCAAAGCTTTTTGTATGAGTAACCAACTCACTAACCATATACTTTTATCGTTTATCTTTTAATCTTTTATTTTTATCATAACTACCCCTATATATATATATATATATATATATATATATATATATATATATATATATATATATATACACACACACACACACACACACATTGGGTTAGGTTCATGTGATACAGCCTAATTTTGTGAGACCGTGAGACACAATCCTAGTCACTCATTTAGTAGATAAAACAAAAACATTTTTAAAATGCCAAATAATTGAAATTTCTCAAAACAAAAATTCCAATATTATTTTCGAAATATATATTTTCGAAAAAAAAATACCAAAATTTTTAAAAAAAAATATATTTTATACATATTCTACTAATATTCTATTAGAATATTTCACATATTTTTCAAAAAAAAAAACGAGATTTTTTTTTATTTTTTTTTAGTTAATTCAAGTTCCGAAAATAATATTTAAATTTTTTTTGGATTTATCTATTTATTTTGCATCTTAAAGTTATTTTTTTTAGAATATGTACAGTGTAGTATTCTATTAGAATATTTCACATATTTTTTAAAAAAAAAAAACGGGATTTAGTTTTATTTTTATTTTTATTTTTTTATTTTTTTTTTAGTTTATTCAAGTTCCGAAAGTAATATTTAAAAAAAGAATTTTTGGATTTTTCCATTTATTTTTAGAATACGTACAGTGTAATATTCTATTAGAATATTTCACGTATTTTTCAAAAAAAAAAACGGGTTTTTATTTTTTTTATTTTTTTATGGTTTTTAGTTAATTCAAGTTCCGAAAATAATATTTAAAAAAAGAATTTTTGGATTTTTCCATTTATTTTGCATTTTAAAATTATTTTTAAATTTGGTCTCACGGTTTCATAAAATTAGAATGGTCTCAAATGAACCTGAACATATATATATATATATATATATATATATATATATATATATATATATATATATATATATATATATATAGAGAGAGAGAGAGAGAGAGAGAGACACACACACACACACACACACACACATATATATATATATATATATATATATATATGTATGTATGTATCTATGTATGTATGTATGTATGTATGTATGTATGTATATATGTATGCATGTATGTATTTGATAATTATATTTATGATCTCTTAACTATCTTATATATATATATATATATATATATATATATATATATATATATATATATATATAAATTGTCATATATGTATGCTAAATATAGTTGTTTTAAAAGGATATTTGGGCAGCGTAACAACTAAGTACAATACGTATCCTAAATCTGTCTAGCATAACTCATAGGAACATAAAGTTTCCTAGGGATTGGCCATAATATCATCTTGGTAATACCTACCCTTAGACTATCGAGCATCATATCCTTTAGACATAGATCAAAACTTAAATCCAGATATAGTATTTACAGTTATACTATCCCAAGGCATTTTGCTTATAATAAAATGACTTTATAGTTATAAAGTAAATGTTTTGATAAATCATTTGATAAGCATGTATTCCCCCTGAAACACTTTTTAAAACAGTAAAATAAACTAAGAACCTCCTGGATTGTTGCAACGTGAGTTTCTTGCCATCGAGTGGGTATTGAAGTGTGTAACACCGAAATCCTGGTATGATTTCTATTTATGTATTTTTCTCATTTTGTCTTGGACTCGGCGAGTTGGAGGCCCGATTCGCCGAGTAGGAGCGATTTTGGCACGCGACTTAAATGTGGGACTCAACGAGTCGGGTCCCAGACTCGGTGAGTCCATGTTGGACAAGTAAAACCCTAACCCCGGGTGTTTGCACCCTATTTAAACGATCTAACTCGACCTCCCTTGTCCCTTACACTTCCAGAGAGCTATAGAGCGAGCCCCTAGCCCCCATATTGTTCTTGTGAGTGATCTTGGCTTTGTGAAGGAAGTTGGAGCTTAGAAGAAGAAGGAGGAGGTTGAAGAGTGCAAGGAGGGGAAATAGATCCGAAATCTACACTGTGAGAAGCTTCCATTCAGGTAGAAAAGTCCCTACCTTGATCACTAGTTCATTAGATCCCCTTTTTGTCCCTAATTGGTGGTTTTCAAGCCCTAAAACCTCAAACTCCATGTGTTTATGCTCTATGTTCTGAAAGGACTTAAGAACTGGACCTTATGGACATCTTAGAAGTGTAAAGTCTCTGTGGTTGAAGTGATTTAGGACCCTATTGAGTGTATGACCTCATAAAGAGCTTGGAATTGCCTTTTGGAGCTCATAGGGCCATGCATGCACGTAAAGTTTGCAACTTTACGTGATAAGCATTCCCTAGGAACCTAGATCTATGGTTTGGAATAGTTTCATGTCTCAGATTTGGTCTGTATGGGAGGAGGGTCGAAGGGACTTTTCGAGTTCCAAAGTGGACTCGGCGAGTCCTATGAAGATGGTCTTAGACTCGATGAGTTGGATGAACAACTCGGCGAGTCCTATGAAGATTTCCTGGAACTCGACTGGTTGTTCTTCCAACTCGGTGAGTCATATGAACTGTTATTGAGTTAAGAGGGGTTTAAGTGTAGAAGGTACAACCCTTCGTAGCTGCACGCGGAATTAGCAATTTAACGTGTAGCAATAGTCCCAGAAATCCAAATCCTCAAGAAGGATGCTCTGGTGAGGATTTGGAAGCGAGAAGGAGATCTACTCGTAGGACTCGGCGAGTCAGGTCGCGAGTCGGTCTAATCGTCCCAAGTGGTGAGTTAAGGGTAACTCAGTGAGTGGGAAGAGGGACTTGATGAGTTAGTACCGGGATAGTAGGTGTCACACCCCAAAACCGATAACTGTGAAATACGTTTCGGGGTGGAGGACGTCATGTACAGTATCATCACAATTGCATAATAGTAAATACAAGAAACATACAAACATTTCATTTACATAGTGAGTTTAATTACAAGTGCGTTTTGTAATGTTCAACAAACACCAAAAGTAATACAAAAATAAGAGATGGATCTTGTATGCTCCACCTTCTCCAAAAGTGTTGCACCTGTACCTGTCTATCTTTGACCTGAGGATACAAGTTATTTTGAAAACGAATATCAGCATAAAGCTTGTGAGTTCATAAGAGTTTAGTGTGAGTTTTTGTATAACATGCATTAGAACTGTTAGTATGAAAAGTTGCAATTTACATTCATAAGTAGTAGAAACCCTAGAAAATCCTAAAATTTTCCAGAAAATACATTGTAAGTGAAAACCTTTAAGAAACAAGTAATCTTCATCTTTGAAAACCGTTTATTGTAAAAGTATATTATGGAATCTCCAATAAGTAATGTAATAAAAGAGGATATGCATGTAATCAGTAATAGAGGTGCAAACTCTCTTTAGTGATAGATACTTGTTTACTTCGGGATGTTAAATTTGCCTTTAGTTTAGTATTTTAGTGTGGATAGAGTGTATTCCTTGTATGCTACCGATAGTGTGCGTAATAGAGGACCCCATGACCTTCCTGGTCATGCATAGTGTAGTGAAGTAGTGGCATCCCTGGGCCTGCACGGCTCGTACTGAAGTTCACAGTTGGGATGTAATAGTGTCTGCCCCGTATAGATCTATACATGTAGTGTCGTCTTCCTGTCAGAAAAACTTTGGGCATAGTATGTAGCGAATAGAGTATCTCGTAGTGAGTTAGTGTGTTATCCTCTGTTTAGTGCCTTTTCTTGTATTATAGTGTAGTATTCTTTTGTATAGCTCGTAGTGTGTTCTCTTATTAGTGTATCGTCTCGTAATAGTGTGTATTATAGTGTGTAGAGTAGTAGTTATAGCGAGTAGTAATGCCCTTAACTATACCTATTATAGTTAACTTAGTGCGTATAGTTCTTACCAATTTAGT